CGCATGATGAAACGCTTGCACAGATGAGCTCTGTCGCTCGCATTTTCCACGGTGCCTCGGCGCGCTGCTCGCTGCATGACTGCCACGTCAGGAGCTATTGCCAGGGCTACGTTTTGTAGTAGCTGTCTGGGGGAACGACCAAGCTCCCACCCTATCTAAGGCAGTATTACGTGCCCAAACTATTTTGCGTCAAGTAAAAATAGATTCACGTAAGTGTGCTTCAAGTAGTTTCCAAGGCAATTCAGAGTTGCTGTTTCAGATTCTGAAAGAGCCTGTGTTGGTGGATTATTTTGGAGGAAAAGAATGAAAGAGAAATTACAATATCTTAAATACTTGTGGGCCTTTCGGTTTACTTCTCTGTACACCCCTTGTCTAAATCAATAGTGATTTGTGACCTATATGCTTCACACATAAGAAAAGTGTCAAAAGGAGACTTCTCTTTGTAGTTGACTGTCTTTGGCAGGTCGTTAAGACTGAAGATGCGAAAAGTTTTAGGCTTTGTCCTGTGTGGTCTGCTGGTGTCGCTGCCAAGCTCGGATGCAGAGAGCGCCATCATCTCCCGGGAGGCCTACGAGAAGGGTGAGCAGGAAAGGCCAGCAGCAAAGCTCATCCCAGCCATGTGTGCACGGGGCGATCGTTCCCCAACGACTCTTTTCTGGCTGCTCTGCTTACATTTGTTTATACTTCCTATTAAAGTTCTCAGACACTGGAAATAGCAGCTCTTTTAGGAAACTAAGCAGGTCTGTTTTGTAGATGCTCTTCCTTCGTAGACCCAGAGTTTTCGAGGTCTTGCTTTTTCCACCTAGCCTGCAGCAGCAGCAGCTATTTTTGAGCTGCAGTCCGCTTGAATTACAAACAAAAATGTTTCCCTTCACCCATAAGAAGGCAAGCAAGCCTAATGCTTCCTCAGTCACCCTGGCATGTCTGAAGAACTGAATTTTGTTGTTTGCAACTTCAGGTGACTGAGAGTATAAACTCATCGCCTTGTGTCCTATGACTCTTACCTCGTGTAAGAACAGAGGCGGAAAAAATGACAACTTAAATGCTCTTCCGTGCAGTTAGAGGTCACCATCCAGCACACCACGTCTAATAGCAGTGTTTTTCTTTACAGCTTGTGAAGATTCAACAAGGAGCCTTTTTGAGTCTGAAATGAGCAAATTCGCATTCCCAGAATTAAAAGTGGATTCAATAGCTATCAAAGGGTGAGTGGCAGAGAAAAGGCTCCCGCCTGATTCTCTTGTGTCTAGAGGCCCCGTTGCCCACTAAGGTGTCTGCACCGCACGCGTCTGTGCCGGAGCAGCAGCGTCGGCCGCGCTGGGACGTGGTGGGTAAAGGTGTTTGGTGCAGCTGGTACCGTCTGCCCACGGGAGCCGCAGGCTGAGGCAGAGACAGAGGCTTCAGCAAACAGCGCTGAGCTGAGACCCCATCCGCAAGGGATTGTCTGAAGAGGAACGGCACTGCAGAATAAAACCAAAAGCGTTTTATTGGATAAATGTCTGAATTTGACAAGAATAGATGCGGCCTTGGGTGCCTGCCTTGAAAAGCCAGCCTCGTTTCTGTTCCTCCTCTCTCTATATTTCATTTTCCGCCCGAGCTGTTTAGGGACAGTTCTTCTTCCTGCTGCTCTGTGTTTAACAGTACATTATTGTTCATGTTTGTGAAAGCAAATAAAGGACCCTGACACGCTGAGTCTAGATATCTTTGCTGCTCTCGTTTTCTGCTCTCGTTTTGCAGGTTGTATGTCATGAATGCTACAGTTCTGCCAATAAAGGCCAAGTGCATCCCTGGTGCTGGGGTCCAGGTGAACCTTTCTGCTCTTCTGAGCATCTTTGGTACTTGGTGAGTGTTGGCCAAAGGCTGTGGAGTTCAGATTGCTTTTGACAGCACAAGACGAGCATAAGGAAGGTGTCTGCATGGGCATGAGGAGGGAGAGGGAATTGGTGTGTTTTTGTTTGTTTTTGTCAAGAAACTGTAGAAACAGAGCACTGTTTCACGATCCGGTGTAACTACACATTTATATTTCATTGGAAGTTGAGGTTCCCTCAAAGATTGCCCAGGGAGGAAGCGCTGGGAAGGGCAGTGTTGATGGTAGATCTTGAGGGAGGCAGGTTTGAACGTGGACACGGCCGCCTTCGCGGAAGCGCGAGCCCGGGGGCCGTGGCGGGGCACGGCAGCTGCTCCATGTCGCTTGGTCTCCACAGTGGAAGTGTCCTCGTGCCTGGCGTGGTCACTGCGGCTGCGAGGCTCAACTGCAGCACCCTGGTTCTGCTGGAAGCCTATTCACCGAGCAACAGCTCTGTCCGCGTCGGGGACCTCGCGTGTGATGCCAGTCTGATAGATGTCAGAATCAGTTTGAGGTGAGCGCTGCTGATTTGTCGCAAGCAGAAATCTGCGTGGGTTAGAGCTGCCCTGTGCTACGGCATGAGACAGCCTTTAAATCTCCATTAGATACAGCCTGTATTTTCGATTTACCACCTTTGTTTTGGATTTATTTGTGCAGCATAGCTATTTGAGTGACCAGAGAAAGCTTTCCTTCAGTGTCTGCATACAGGTGTCACAAACTGAGATTGTTTTTTGATTTTTAAACTCTGTGCCTCTGTGCTTGGGCAATGCCTTGCATGGGTGCCAGTCCACCAAGATACTGTCCTACTGTTTGATTCTCCCCATCCTTTCCTTAGGAATAAACTAATTTATATTTTAGACTAACTCACGGCAATATATTTCACAAGCGGCTTGGGCTGTCCCATATAGGTGGTATGAGATCTGCTGTGGCTTGTTTGCTGCCAGAACTGAAGCAGGACTGTCCTCTGCTGAGGCTGCAGCCTGGTGGCAGCACTTAAAAACCACCTCCTGATGATCTCCTCCCTCTAATTTCTCTCGAGTGCTTTGGTCTGATCATGATTCCTTCTGCTTCAAAATGATTTCCTTTTGTCTGCAGCAACACTGGTGTTAGCGTGGAAACCACGTTAAGAAACAGCGTCCTGTCGGAGTTAAAAGAAAAGGTACAGCTCATTTCTGCTTTCACTTCCTAACACACTGAGAAAGAAGGGAAGCTTCCCTGGTTGAGCTCCCCCAGGCCTGGATGGGAGCAGAGCCCGGCGAGCTCCCCTCCTCGCAGCTCTCGCTGCTGGGGAAGCAGCCTCGGCTCTGCCCTTCGGCCTCCTGAGCATGGGTGGAGATGCCAGTTCTCCAGAGCTGCAGCCTGTGGCTTCCCGACTAGGAAAAAGGAGCAGCCCTTTAAAGCCTTTGGAGCAGCTGGAGCTGCCCTTCCATTCCCCAGCCCTCGAGAGGGGGTCTCCTCTACTCGTTCTGCAGCGCTGGGCAGTACCCGCATCTGGAGCCGCAGCGTGGCAGAGGGGCGATGCACAGACACCTCTGACAGGGGGGAAAGAGCAGACCTAGTTTCTCCCTGACATCTGTATAAAATTGCTGAGTCTGGAATGGAATAACATTCTCTTGTGTTTCAGACACCTAAAATACTTTCAAATTGCATTTCCATTGGGCACAGGAAGTTGCTGCATCGTATAAATTGTGAGTGACGCCCCCGTTTTCCTTTTCCTTGTTACACCTGGTGATCTGGGTGGGAGAGACCCTGTCACTTTCCCATTCTGGGCACTGTGTGTGACAGAATACAGGGTATGACCACGTACCCCTTGGTCTAATACCAGCTTCCAGAGGGAGCGTCACCGGGCTGCTCACTAAGTACGTGCAGCTGTTGCTCTGTTTTTAAGCATTGTCAGAAACTTATGGAATGGAGGAACTGGGAAGGGGGTAGCCTGGACGTGGGTCTTTCTAGGCAATGTCTTCCTCTGTGGCTATTTCAATCCAGGCCTATGAAGAGCAAATTGCAACTGCAATGGGGGCCGAGAAGAGGTTCAGGCATGCAAAGCAAACTCTTTTCCTTTTCTCTCATATCAATTGTTAGGTGATACTTCTGTTTTGTTTTTGTCTACAAACTGCTGGCTTTAAATAGGCCCATTATATAAACTTGAGAATAACAAACTTGTTTTGATGACTATTTAAGCTAATTTAGGCGGTCTAATATGGTTCAGCAGCCGCTCAAAACCATAGACTTCCACCTGATCTGATATTCTTCTGGGGTTCCCCCTATAAATTTCTTTCTGTTTCTATGCAGCTGTAATTGCATTTGAAATGGGGAAAATGATATATGTGCCCAAGACCCCCAAAGTGCATAACTCCTCCATTGAAATACCTCTGCAGGTGAGTGCGAGCTGTGAGGGTCGCTTCTCAGACCGAAGTTTCACCCCTTCCTGCTTGATAACTTCTGAGCAGTTTTAGAGCTTTGCTTCCTCTGTGACACTGAGCAGAGGAACAGTTGGCAGGAAAGCTGTTGTGCAGCTCGTCAGCTGTCAGGAGTCGCTTGGAATTCACGGAGCGCGATTCTCCTGCTCACGTCTCGCAGCATGCGCTCGTTGAGACCCGGTAATTAAGGAGTTTCTCCCACAGTGAGTGTGTGGTGTTGTCTTGGCTTTCAGATTCAATATGAGACCGATGATGAGAAGAGAATTCCCATTCCATCTCTGCCAGCCAGCCCTGAGGTGACGCTGGTAGCAAACGGCACAGCTGAAACCATTGGGGAGAACACATTTACCACTGTCCTCTCGCAGATAGTCTTTGAGAAGCCCAGGACCATCCCTTGCACCCCTGAAACAGTGAGTGGTGCAGCTATCTGGGTTGTTCAAGCTTCCAGCTGATGTGGCTCTTACCACAGCATTTTGGGCTAGTGCCTGCTCCTCAGTACCTCTTTCTACCTCGTGGTTGTGTGTGTGTGTTTTGCTTTGTTTTGGGTTTTTTTTCTCAGTGACATTCCAATGCTCATTGCTACATTTAATGTGTGCTTTCAGGCACTACTTGTTTGCATAAAATCTGTCTTTCTGGAGCTGCAGCTCCGAACACCTGCGCAGCTGCTGCTGCAGAGCGCAGAGCCTGTTGTCACGCTCTCTGCTCTAACCGAGGCTCCTATATATTCCTTAATTACCTGAAAGGGCTTGGAGGCAGCTGTTGAAAACCTGATTGAGGAAAAAGAACCTATTGCATTTGTCTAGATTATAAAAAGAGAAACTGCCTTCAGACTGCACTGAGAAGAGCACCAAGCACTGTAAAGAGAAGTTAGCTTGGGAACCTGTGGGTTTCTTGTTAACGTGGGTATCGTTTGTGAGGAAGGCTCCGTGTAGGTGGAGGAGGTGGTGTCCCCTCCTCATCCTCCGGGGAGGAGGTGAGCTCTGCATGGCCCTTTCATGGAAATGGGGCATCTCCAGCTGATGTTTGTGTTTGTTTCAAACAGTTCTCGGAGGCTCGTGCTCTTGAGGAGGCCCTCAATGATACCATCACGTCTAAGGTGAGTGTGGCCCAGGCCGTGGAGCTTCCCTGGAGATTTGTGCCATGCTGACGATGCCACGGGAGGAAGCTCTTGTGGCGGCTGCGTGTGCGGTTGGTCGGGCAGGAGCGACTCCAAGGGCTCCTTCTGTCCCCACCGCCCGTCCCCGCTGTCCCTGCGCTCGCACCAGCGTCCGCGTCGCTCTGAGGCAGCTCTGTCCCCGTGCAGTGCCCCGCGTGCCCCGCGGCCGCCTTCTCGCTCGTCATCATCGTGGAGGTGCTCGTCCCGCTGGAGGTGCACCTGGCTGTGAACCGCTGCGCCATGAACATGTCCCTTAAGCTGGAGATAATGAGCAAAAATGGAAACGAGAGCTTGGTGGTTCTTGCTGTCCTGCAGGCTGTAAGTGCTGGGGACCAACTTCTGCTTAAAAGGCAGTGAAGTGTGGGGGCTGGAGGGCAGCCCCTGTGCGGAGGCTGGTGGGTAAATGACACACTGTGAATTTGTACCTTTATATGAATAAATTGAGTAGAAACTCTTGGACGAATTCCAGCAAAAAAGCACTAATAACTGAAAACTAGGCATGGATAATTTATTTTGTAACAGAGAGCCCAGCCTTGCTCGTGCCTTGTGCAGCGGTTGGCAGCGCTGGGCTCCGTTTGGCCGCAGTTCTGGTGAGCTGCTCCATCCTCGTTGCAGGACCTGGGTTTGGCAGCGGCTCCGCACGTCGCCGACGGGGCCGTGTGGTTCAGCGCGGCCCTCGACAGGTAGGACGGGGCCCCCGGCCTGCCCGGCGCCGGCCCGGCCCCCGTTCCACCCGCGCGTTCCCCTCTCTCCGCAGCCTGGCGCTCTCGCTGCGCTCCCCGGTCAACGGCACCGCTCACGTGAGTCCCGCGTCGGCGCGGAGCGGAACGGGCACCGCTCCGGCCTCCGAGGGGGAAAGGAGCCCTGGGAATAAGCACAGCAAGGAGGAAGGGGAAGGAAAAGAGGAGAAAGAAAGCGCAAATCCACTTAGATGGTATTGGGCAGGGTTTCAGCAATGCATTCCTTTGGTTTTCTTATTGAGTCATCTCTCTCTTTCAGATTAAAGTTCTCCAGGAACCCTTGAGAGCTTTTGTTCGAGAAGTTATAATAAATGAAATCAATTGTAAGTCCTCAGGGATATTTTCTCCACTGATTTCTTGTTAGTCAAAACCCAAATTATGCAGGCCAAGAGTGTTCCTTGGAGCAATTCAAGTGTATTTTTGTTTGCTGGAGTACTTGTGTATTCTGTAAGTGTTCAGGCAAGCTGAGTCTGGAATCTGGCTTACACATAGCCATCAACCTGACTCTTAGACTGTGCTGTTTGTGCTACAGCAGTAATTTTATGTTAGATGTGGGTGTTTGGGAACTGAAGAGTAAAGTTTAAAAGTGGAGCGTCTCCAGATGCCTGCACCAAATCTGTCCCTTTGCAGGCTAGTGAGATATTTGTACTAAGAATCAAGCAAAGGGAGCATGTCTCTGCTAGTGTGCCTTTTCCGTATTATAAATGCACTTAGGCTTTTGCAAATGTGAAAGATCTGTTAAATATCTGCACTTTTCTGGTGCTTGCTTTTGCCCCTCACCCTGGTTCTAGCTCAGCCTCAACAGGGAGAGCAAGACAGGCCAAGGATGTTGATCTCTGCGCGTATTTATTTCAGCATATCTCAAAACTGGAAAAATCCCAATATTTAAGATCCCAGGGCTGACGTTCCCAGCTGTCGACTGCCGCCCTGCACAGGTCAGTCCGTGTCCGGCGCGAGCCCCTCGGGCCGTGCCTGCCTCTCCCGCAGCGCTCCGGGTGCTGTGGGTGATCAATGTACATCGTGCTTAATGTCCAGGGGACGTTCTGCAGACCCAAGTGCTTCTGAGGCTCCTGCCTGCCCAGAAGTTGGAGTTGGCCTATTATGTTTGCTACTAACAGGATTTATGAACAAGCTGTCGTTCTCCTCAGAAAACGGGCAGAGATGTTTGCCTTTACGTGGGTCTTGAAAGGCTGCTTATGTGCATGAAGTTAATACAATGGGAAATGGATTTTTTTTTTCTGCCCACCTAGGCAAGCCTTTAGTGATTAATGCTGTTAAGTAAAAAGAGAAAGCAGCAACAAATTCAATTTTATAAGGTGCTTTGGATTTCAGGTCCATGAAGAATGCTTGCTTTGTTAAAGAAATATTTCCTTCGTCTAGAGCTCTTTCAAAAATACTTTATCTCCCTAAAATCCCCTTGTTTCCATAGTTGCATTTTGATGCTAATGGGATTCATAGCTTCATAATTCTTTGTCTCTCTTCTTGCGCTGGTACAAGGCTAAAATCTATTGCAGAATAGATATGTTGAGCTAGGAAGAAAACATAGGAGAGGATCGATTCTTTGCTTGTGAAATTAGTTGAGCTGTTTTTCATTTGTTCTTCTAGCGCTGTATTGTGTGCCATAACTACCACAAGAAAAAGAAAGACTGACGTACAGGATGAGTTGCTGTTGCATCTCTTACACTGAACAGTAAAGCCAGAGACCGTCATGAGTGGAGATATTTTAATTCATATAATTCTATATTCTAAAACTTTGATTATATTTTTAAATGGGGGGAAAGACTCCTGCATCTGCTTTAGAATTACAGCTAAGGAAGTTCAGAGGATCCAAACAACAGTCTCCTTGTTAAAAATATGTTCTACTCCAAGTGCTGTTTTCTAAAATCGATGATGTGTTGGCTATGTGCTTCAAGGACAGTTTGGGACACTGGTTACTGTTCTTGCTCTCTTTTGGCTACTCCAATAAATGGCTGTACTTTGCCAGTGCTTTCCTTGTGATCTTTTACCCCATAGCAGGATTCGGTTCCTTCCCAGGCTGTTTTCCAGGGAGGGAGCGAACGGCCGCGCGGAGGGGCTGGCGCTGCCTCCCACCTTGTGTTGCGGGAGCTGCACAGATGTGTCTGGAAGTGCCTGTACCCAGTGCTCCCTTGGCACGAGATCAGGTGTGGAAACAGATCCAGAGCCCTCGGGCAGGCAGGGAGAAGCTGCTTGGAGAGCAGGCGGGTTCTAGGGCCAGTTCCCCCTGCTCCCCTTCTCCTTTTCTGTGAGCAGAGATCAGCAAAGCAGGCGAGGTCAACTCCTTGCAAAATGAACGATGGGTCCTTGCAAGAGGCTGGTTGGCAAATCTGCAAACAGGAGCTTGGCCGCTGTGGCAGCGCCTGGTGCAGGGGTGATCCCTGCAGGCCCGGGGCTCCCGTGGCCATTTCTCGGACGGGGATTGTCAGAAACGCGGCCAGCGTGTCCGCTCCGAGCTCGGCACGCACCGGGGCCTGGTGAGCCCCTCCAGGCCCGATTCCCAAGGAGGAACTGGGGGCACCGCAGTGGAAAGGCAAAATCCCAGCTCAGACCTGGCTGCGCTCGGGGCTGCTCCATGCTGGGGTGCTCAAGCCAAGCCCGGACCAGTCCAGCTGCCTTCTGAGCATTTATCGCTAGTCCACGAGGCGGAATTTCAAATGGAATGTTTCCTTTGAGCGAGAGGGTTCAGAGGCTTCGTTCCCAGCTCTGCGAATCACATTGCTGCTCAAAACTAACGGTGCGTCGTGCGTCCGGGTGTTCTGCCCCTCCTGCAGCTATCCACAAGCTGCAGATGTGGATTATGGCTTGCGTGCTGCCCTGTGATGTGTGTTCAGCCATCTGAATCATACGGCAGCGTTTGAGCTGTGCCTGGATAATTGATTCAAATGTAAATTGAACTAATAAATCCTTTATGGGCTCAAATATGCTTTCTTTTTATTTTGATTCTTTTTTCTCTTTCCATTGTTGGATGGCTCAGAAAGTGGTTCTAATCTAACAAACACATATTTGACTACTGTTCTAGGAAGGCAGGTTCTGTAGGATTTGTTTTGAAATGCTTTATTGTGGCGTTTATTGAATCTGTAACCTGTTTATATCTTGGCTCATGTGCTTCTGGTCAATAATCTGCTTGTGGAAATGCTCGTGCCAGGCATTGATGGCAAAGCCAGGTGGATACTTAGGCCTTTAAATGCATTATTAGTCAAGCACAGAGTATTATAATTATTATTATTCATTCATGGAGAGGAATACTGGAGTGCAAAGGTGCCCTGCTGGCATCAGAGAGTAATTTGGTTTGGGAATGTGCACAGAGAGACTTGAACTGGCATCAGGATTTGTCCTTGGCTCTCTGAGTGTTTTGTGAATGGTTTAAACTAGTTTTCCTTTAAGGCTCACTGATGTTTCACTGGAGACAGGACTAACGAATACAGCCCAGCACAGGGATGTCATTTCCACTGTGCTCCCAGCCCAGCTGTATTCAATCAGCAATTCCATGGATGGTCATTCCCGGAGCAGCATCTTTTCCAGGAAGTCGGGTGAGTCCCCCTTTTCCATGAATCCCACAGCTCCCGGTACCTTTAGTGCCTCGTCCCCTTCTTGCTTTGCACTTGTTGATGTGGAGCTGGAGCCCGCTGCAGCGAAACGAGCCTGCAATGTTACCATCGCTGTGATGGTTGTGTGCGTCCTCAGTGCCTCTGTACATGCCCAGACCTTTTTAGAGTCTGAATAACATCTCGGCTTTGGAGGTCTGTGCTGGGTATCCCGTGTCGGGATTGCCTAGGGGAAAATCTGCTTCCTCCCGCTGGTGCCCAGGCGCGGAGCATCCCTGCTGCTCGGCACCGTGCGGGTCCCTGGGCCCTGCCCTGGGCCCTCCTTGGGGCTCCGCCGGCCTCGCGGGCGCCCTCGAGATCCCGCAGTTCTGGGAGTCCTTCCAGGGCCGTTGCTGCAGGCGGCCGCTGCGGCAGCGGGGGCACCGGGGGCGGGAGGCTCCGGGCCGCCGGGGGAACCGCCGCTGCTGGTCGCTTTGCAGCAGGAGAGGCCCAAAGGGCAGAATCCGGCTCTCCCCACATGCGGCTTTGCCTCGGGATGCCCCGTGCATGCCCATTACCCTCGGATGCTCCCAGGGTTGTGGCTCGCTCCTGCGCCCACACAATAATGCTCCATGTCCCGTCACTGCTGCTGGCTGTTGAACATCAGTATTCCTAGATCACGGTGATGCCGCTTCTTGCACGTGTAGTGTCTTTAGAGGGGGAAAAAGAGCAAGCAAAACTGTTCATGCCCAAACTTGCTGCTCTTCAGAACGTGAATTTCTCTCTCCATCTCCGTGCTGGGCCATTAAGAGATTCTGTGACCGGCTCCGGCACCCAGCCCAGGCTCTTTAGGAAGCATCCGCTCAATAAATCATGTGGGGAGCAGCTGCCGCTCTCTGCCGAGCCCAGGCACAACAGATAAAATATTGCTCATTTATTTGCTTTGCTAGAAATAAAGTTGCTGCAGTGGAACATCATTACAGGCTGCTCTTAATTCACCTCAGGGCTATTCCTAATAG